ATGCTTCCTTATGCAATGGTTCCTTATGCAATGCTTCCTTATGCAATGGTTCCTTATCCAATGCTTCCTTATGCTTCCTTATGCAATGCTTCCTTATGCAATGGTTCCTCATGCAATGGTTCCATATCCAATGCTTCCTTATGCAATGGTTCCTTATCCAATGCTTCCTGATCCGATAGTTTCTTATGTAATGCTTCCTTATGCAATGGTTCCTTATGTAATGCTCCTTATGCAATGGCTGCTTCCTTATGCAATGGTTCCTTATATGCTTCCTTATGCAATGGTTCCTTATCCAATGCTTCCTTATGCAATGGTTCCTTATCCAATGCTTTCTTATGCAATGGTTCCTTATGCAATGCTTCCTTATGCAATGGTTCCTTATGCAATGCTTCCTTATGCAATGGTTCCTTATCCAATGCTTCCTTATGCAATGCTTCCTTATGCAATGGTTCCTTATCCAATGCTTCCTTATGCAATGGTTCCTTATCCCATGCCCTCACCGTGCCTTCGAGCCTCCTGGGGCCCCCGACGCCGCGGGAGCGCCACGCCGCCACGCCGGCCGCCGCCGCGCTTGGCGACTCGCGAGGTGCGGCCCCGCGCCGGAGGGGCCCTCGGTGCGCGGGCTGCGGGGGATGCGGGCGGCCCGGCCCGAGCACGCAGGCCCTCCTCCCCCTCCTCCTCCTCCTCCTCGTCGTCGTCCTCGTCCTCCTCCTCCTCCTCCTCCTCCTCCTCGTCGGCGAGCGAGGGGGGGAAGTGAGAAGGAGAAGACCCTCGCAGAAAGCGGCGGGACTTCTCAGGAGCCCTCTCGCCTTCTGTGGGGCTTTCCGTGTCTTCGGGGAAGGCTCAGAAAACTTCTCAGAAGGCTGGGGGACCTCCGAGCCCTCTGAGAAGGCTTTCTCCTTCTCACTTCCCCCCCCTCGCTCGCCGCCGATCCTCTGTCGGGCCGCACGCAGCGATCGGCAGGCCGCGCAGCAGGGGTCACTCTTGCCTGGGGCCACCTCTTGCGCGTGGCTGACCACGGCGCGGCCCTGCCGCTGCCCGCCGCCGCGCCATCACTCCCGCAGGAGCCGGCTTCCTCGCGGCGGCGCTGCCGCCCCCACCGGCTTCGCCGCGGCGGGCGGCGGGGCCGCCCCGCCGCCGGGGTGAGGCGCGCTCTCGGCCCGGCCAGCCCTGGTCGGCTGCGCCAGCGAGTGTGTGTTCGGGGGCGGCCAAGAGGGGGGGTGATGATTACAGGGGGGGGGGGAAGATACCATGGCCAGGGCCATGATATGTCCGCAGATTTCGTGGCGCCTCTTCTTATTTTGAAACGCCCCCTGGCCCGCACTGGGCCGCGCACATGCCTCAGGCCTTGATTTGTGACCCCCCCCTTTGGACGCCCCACTCTCCTTCTTGGAACACCCTCTTCTTCTTAGATCGCCCTCTCCTTCTGTCAAGCGGATCCCTTCTCAAACTGGCTCAAGTGACGGCCAGTGATGAATTTGACAATACATTTCTGTGCCGCAGGCGCTATCAGCTGCTGAAGGTGCTTTGAGCCCAGAAGGTGAAGGACGACAATTTATGCAGCAAAGCAGCGGGCATGCACGTATCATCATACACATATTGCAAGAGGTTCAATCTGATAGGTGCACACCGAATTTACACAGTGGACCTCAGTTTAGTGAGATTGAGACCGGGAGAAGCTGCCGCACAGCTCTGGCGCTTTAAGAAAAAATGGGCAAAGGATGGGAGAGAGCCTCTGGCATAAGCCTGTACACATGCTTGATGCTCTTCAATGTTTAAGCTGACTGCCTTGGTGCAAGGCTAGCATGTGGGTGACTCGTGCGCGGAAGCGACGAGCACGGTCCTCCACTTGCCAAGCCTTTTTTTCTTCTGTCCAGGAGGCCCCCCATCATCGACAGAGAGAGAGAGAGCAAGAGGAGAGAGAGAGAGAGAGAGAGCAAGAGCAAGAGAGAGAGAGAGAGAGCGAGAGAGAGAGAGAGAGAGCGAGAGAGAGAGAGAGAGCTAGAGAGAGAGAGAGAGCAAGAGCAAGAGAGAGAGAGAGAGAGCGAGAGAGAGAGAGAGAGAGCGAGAGAGAGAGAGAGAGCAAGAGCAAGAGAGAGAGAGAGAGAGCAAGAGGACGACAGCAAGAGGAAGAGAGCAGCCAGGGCAGGAGCCACGGCGGGTGGCGGCTCGGGCGGAGAGAGCACAGAGAGGGAAAAAGAGAGAGAGAACCGGAGTCGCTTGGAGGGTGAGTCCAGTCGTCAGGACGAGTCGATCTCCGCCGCTCTGATCTGATGCGTCGAGGCCCTCAGCATCATCCTTCTGAGTGCGGCTCAGGTGCTCACTCGAGTGTGCTCGACTCCTGTGTTTAGACGAGGGCTGGCCCAGCGCTGGTTCTGGCCAGCAGAAAGGAGGCCCAGACGCGCTCGCGTCGTGGCGCAAAAGTCACGACGGAAGGTCTCTTGCTATTTTCGGCCTCTTGGGGCCCTCGCTGGTCCCTGGGACCGTCAACACAGACGACTTGGGATGAAAAGCCAGTCCCCGGGAATGGGTTGAGATTTCGTGGGGTCATCGTCGAGAGGGCAGGGGGTGCTTGAAGCCGCTGGGTGGCTGAGGTGGCCCAGCCAGCATTTGGGTTCTGGCCAGCAAGAACTGGAGAACCAGAAGTCTCGAATTCGCCAGAACTCGGGTTCGCCGACGCTTTTTGACGAGCCCGTCCTTGGTTTTGACGGTTCCGTTTCCGTGGGGTGTTTGCAGCGGGAGCTCGCGCCAAATTTCAGACTGGGTCTCGTCAATGTTCTTGATGGCCCCGTGAGGCCAGCCCGAGTCCCTCGAGCCCGAGCCTTACGGCTTCCCGACAAATTGGGGAAGGTAGGGGCCCCACTCGTCGCTGCGGACTGACGCGGCTCGAAGAACAGGTCGGTCTCGGCCCCAAGAGGGGCATTGGCATTGATCCTGAGCGAGCTCGCCTTCGTCCGTCATCTTGACCGATCCTCTCTGGGTCGGGCTCGTGGGCCGCTGTGGCCAGTGCCGTCGCCGCCGTCGTCGCCGCGGTTGTCGTCGTCGTCGTCGTCGTCATCTTCGCCGCCGTTGCCGCTCGCCGTCGCGGTCCTGGAGGGTTTCTCCGAAGGGCTTAGGCGACCCGTCCTCCTCCTCCTCCTCCTCCTCCTCCTCCTCCTACTCCTCCCTCCTCCTCCTCC